AGAGAGAGAGTGTGTGTGAGACAGAGAGAGAGAGAGAGTGTGTGTGTGTGTGAGTGAGAAAGAGAGAGAGAGAGAGATGGCTCTGACTGTCTGGGGCACTTATACAGCTCTTAACTCTTTTACCTTTAGTTTGTTGAAGTGATGGATGGTACTCATCAGCATTCAGCATCTCAGGATTTGTTTTCTTTAGAGGGTGACACAGGAGGGGATTTTCACTCCGGTCCCATGCCAATCCCTCAAAAATACTTCTGTCTTCCCAATCCCATGACAGAGCAAAAATAAATTCCTGTCCCGTCCTGATCCTGGAAAAATGACTGCCGTCCTGTCCCCACTCCGTTCTTGTGTACTACTTGATAGGGATATTGACATTTGTAATAAGGCAAACAGTAACCTATGTTATGCGAATCTATCTAGATTGGATATTGTTGTTTATATATAGTATAGTGGTACATTTTCCTTAAGCCAAGTTAAACTAGATAAAACGGTAAACTCAAGGCCAGTTGAGATGTTATGAAATTGAAGTTTTCGGTCTCAAAAGCACACCTTTGTAGCTTTTTAAAAAATGATCTCAAAAGCATAGAAGACAATAATTATAAAGGAAAAGGGAGAAAAAGGTATGCTAGAAAATCTTCACATTTGGTAAATGAATAATAATAATAATGATAAACTCAAGGTTCACTTACTCAGCCATTCTTTAAGCTTTTGGTAATTGATTAATTATGGCCCAATTTACCTGATTGTGTCACTGCACTACACCTATATACATACCCACTAAGCTATAGACAGGCTTAAAAAAGACATGTTTAAGTTGTGTTTCTCTTGCTAGTTTTGGTTGGTATTGCATTGAATCCCCCTCTGCTGTCAGTTAACCTACTGTCAAGAATTTAGTACCTGTGCATTGTAGCTCTGTTTTAGAAATGCCTTGTAGTTTCATATATGTATCTGACAAAGCTCCGGTCAGTGGCTGGCAGTTCAGTGGCCTTTACCTTCACTTTCCTCTAAGCTTTCTGTATTTGTGCTTTACCTTTTTCTCACTGTCACCTTTTAAATGTCACTACTCCTCCGAGGAAAACCAGCATTGCCTGTTCAAACACCTCAGTTTCTTTTATCCCGCTTTTCTTGGCCAAGGCCATGCTCTCACGACACATTATCCACTGAGGTTTTACAGTGCTCATTTCACCTCTCTACACTAATTCAACTGTGCAGTCAGTGCTCCGCTATTATCCACAGCTTGCTCTGCGCCTCCGTCAGCCTCAGGCCTGACTGGAATGAGATGAAGAAACAGCAGCATTATGAATGGTGTTGGGATCCACCAACATCTAGGTTGTCTTCTCTAAAACTGGGGTGAAAAATGGGACTGATACATTTTAGTATGTGGTGCACCGATAGATCCAAATACACCAGTCACACTGACTTAAAAGTAACTTATTGGATAAAACGTTGAGTCATCAAGTCAGAAGTTGTCTGAGCTCCGTCAAGCCTTGGATTTATCAACATGCAATAAGCATTTGCAGAGTTTTGAGTAAGATGTCTTTTTTGTTTGGCCTTCAAAAACTAAAACCACTAGAGTAAAAATGTAAGATTAAATCGTGTTATTTGTACTAACGTAAGATGCAGTGTGTTCGACTAACTAGGTTACTATTCACAGTAACACCTAAGCATTATTTCAGCAGTTTTTGCTTCTTTATTTCCATTTCTTCTACATGGATTATCAGCTGGTAAGGATGTAAGTATGTACACCCATGTGCACATTTTAGACCTTTTTATGGGGTTCTTGTTTTAGAAACATTAAAAAGTGAGCTTGTTAACTGACTCATGGAGCTAAAAGAAAGAATCTGCTCACAACTGACAATTCAGCCAAAAAAGATGGTCGCCAGCTATAAATGAGAAGCCTACTTTAGTCTTCCTCTGTGTGAAATAAGAATCCATTGTTTAAAATGACTAAGAATTTCAAGTGATAAATCTGCTATCATTTTTACTGTTAATTGCATAGGTGTCGTGCGGAAAGCCTGACAAGCATAGCAGCAGTAAGTACAGGGGTTAGGGCTTAATTCATTTGACTCTCTGATTTTAGGTTGCATACATAAGTATTATGTATTTTACAGAACTAGCTAATGTGCTCATTGACCCA